TTCAAGAAAGAAGTCAATTTGGAATTATGGCTTCAATTCTAAACGCATGTAAACAATAGGTGTTTAGACTACACGCAGATAAGTGCATACACCTAACACAAATCTCTGTTTTACTTACATTTTTCTTAGCCTTTCTTTCTTGTTTTTGTGCTTGTAGATTTTTCTGGTCTTGGGATGCTTTAAAGAGTATCCTCCTACCTCCCTTTATTTAGATGTGTTATTATAGGTTCAAACCCTGTTAGCCTAAATCAGGAAGAAAACGTATTAATGACAATGGCAAAAAGAGCTTATGGAATCAAGTCATGCTCTGGCAGAATAACAAGTGAAAGAAATGGTTAATCGTACCATTAAAAGATAACATTGTCACAGTAAGTGGCAACATGAATAATACAGGATGCTTACCAAGGTTTTCTAGTTAGGACGTTTATAGTTTTGTTTCAGTTTCTTATTCCTTCTTAAAGTTTTGTTTGGGGGAGGGTAGAATATCCAATATACTTAAAAATGCACATGGGTGCAGTGAATAAATCTCTTGAACCAAGCAAAGTGATTTTTGAATACCAAGTTTCAAATATCTTCCATGGAGAAATTGAGAGAACTAACCCGGGAAAAGTGAATGTCCCCAAAGTATGGTAGTCGCTAACAGGAAGTTAAAAAAAAAACATTTAAATACTTATTTCAACCACATAACTATCAGATTACGTAGATGTAAACTTTATAGACTTTTTAAAACTGATATTTAACCTGGCTTCGGTTATTTGTGACAGATTAGTATTAGCTGTGTCGAGAGGCAATATATCTAGTTGAAGAATTATTTTTTTAATCTACCAAATGATAAGGAAAGACAACCCATAAGCTCTCAGTCAGATGCACAGTCTGTTATTTCAAGTGTGAAATTGAGGCTGTGATTCAGCAACAATTATACAGCAGACTTTACACCATCTATCTATTTCTTCAGAAAACAATTTTTAGGAAAATAACTTTATTTGTTCTTGTCACATGCTTCCCTGGTTTGTTAACTGACTGCTTTTTCCATTCTTAGAAGAAACATTCTTTGGTAACCCAAATCGTCCTCAGTTTGGGTTTTTGTGAGCCAGGCAGTAAGCTCCATGAAGTTATGGTACTAGCTATGAAAATCCACGATGCTCAACTAGCATTTGTTGAATGAACTAGTAAATGATGATCAAATTCAATTAGATAACATTTTTGAACTTAGATTATAACTGCCTCTAAAGTTCTACTTACTTTTGTTTCAGATCTGTTTACTTCCTGCAGCTCTCTTTCTAATATGGATTTTACGTAACATCATGAACAACGAACTATTTTTTTAACCAGGAAATGTGTCTCTCATGGCTAGAATTCTGAATTGACTAATATATTGGTTAAAGACAATTCATACCAAGGTCTCAAGTATTACTATCTGGCACAATCTACTGCGGCTTTAAAGAAACCACGTGACTGATTGTGACTACACAGTTTTCTATAATTGTGGATATTAACAGGGAAAAAACCCTCGAATCAAATGTACTTTCTTGTAGTATGCTGGAATGCCAGATTTGAAGTCAGATGAAGCAAACGTCTGGGTTCTCTTGTCGCCAGTGACCTTATGCAATTTTTCTGTTCGTTTGCTATTAATTCTGAAGGCTATTGTGAGATAACAAACTATAAAATACATACATTTTTGCTGTTCAAGTTTCAAGAGAAAATAGTTGTATTGTTGACTTTCCTTGGCCTGTGTCTAGATGGGAGAGACTATTTTAATAAGCAAATAATGGGAACACACATTTGGCACAGAATCTTGTCTCCAAGCCTAATCTCATCATGGTAAAGCTTGATCGTGTGTTTCGAGGCAGCTTGTCATGCCAGAGAGAAGAAATTTTTTGTGAAAATATTTAGACACTAAATAAGTCAACTCTAGACACCCACTTAATACATGACCCTTGTTTCCGTGGCCCATATGAGTCTGTTGATGCATCCGTTTCCATTCTCTGATGACTGACTTCAATCTTGGAATTAAACTATCTCATGGCAATGTTTGAACTGGTTTTAAAAGAGCCAGAAGAATCAGACTAGGACGTTGTTATTTAAGATCACTGAAATAGTCATTGCTCATTGACATCTGTCCTTTGTCATTGAGCTCACTAATAATGAGTGGATTCTTGTAGCAGCAGAAACAACCTAAGGCCCTCAGGGAACCAGACTATGTTCCTGTCATTCCTGAAGTGTCACTCAAATTTGGGGATGTTCTTCCAAAAGAGGTACTTTGAGTTATAATAATGTCAGTTTTTTGAGTTGACAAATAATAGAAAACTCCATTTAGATTTAAATATTATTGAAGAAAATTATATTATGGAGTCAAATGCAGCATTTGCATCAACTTCTGTCAAACCTAAGACTCTAAAAGCACTCTGTGCTTGGTGTGTTCCTGGATCAGACAGGCATACCTGTTCCTGCTCTCAGGTACAGCTCTCTGACAAGGTTTAGGAGGCTCTGGACAAGTGCATGCTGGGAGACCTGGCTACATACTGCCTTCTGTGGAAACATTCATGTCAAGGGCTTTTTAGAGGAGTATTTCCTTTTGAAGACTTTTGATCCAGAAGAACTAAGAAGAATTGAGAAATAATATTTCCATAGGATGTTCCTTGGAAATTCTTTAGTACTTATGCTGAAACAAGATTTCGGGGAGCATGTTTCTATGCAGGAGTGTCTGCGATTGCTTTGACCAGACAAGGTTTCTGATATTAAACTTCCCACAGCAGGGTTCTCAGGAGAAGGCCTAACAGACACAGAAAAGGTGGGCAGAGCAATACAACAAGTCCATGTCTGAAGTCAGTTGAATAAAACAGTTGAGATTCATCAGTAAGAGAGAAAATAAGTGCTTTAAGAGACGAAAGGAAGAAAATGGTTTTCATAGCTTACTTGCTGTTCATCTAACAGTAGCTATAACTTTGACAATGAAAATTACACATAGAAAATTCACATTCTAGATTTACAAAAACTGATCAACATTAGGCTTAGACACCAAGATCTGTACAAATAATGTAAATGTCAATAATTAATGACACACTCTCAAAGATTATGTTTCCAAACAAACATGAAAGCCATTTAGAAATTGTGAGCACAGTGAAAAATGAAAATGTTTGGAATTATTTTTAGCAGTAGAGCTGCTTGGATTTCAACTAAGATCAAAACTTGTTTTTTTTTTTTTTTTTTTTTTTGCTGAGATATAATGACCAGATTCTGTTAATAAAGAAATGTTACTCCTTTAAAGATTTGGAATTAGATTCTAAATATTTGGACTACTTTTTCCAATGTTTTTTTTTTCTTTCGAAAATAGAATAACATTTACAGGGTTTTTTTTAAAACAATAAATTGTGCTTTACATTTGGCCCTGCATATTCTTACTTCACTAAGCTTCAAAAATACACTGTGCTGAAACAAAACCTGGACATTCTTGGGAAACCCAAGAATTCTATCATTAATCATTATATCATTTTTTTATTTGGGTAAAACAGAGAGCAAGAGAGGTCAAAGAGGATTGTCCAGGATCATGTGTCATGTAGTTACATCATGTAGAGCTTGATTCCTTGGAAGCAAAGTGGATTCCTGAGACCTGAACTCTACACAGATTTCAGTAACAGGCCAACCTCCAGCAAATGCCTTCACACTTCTTGATTTCCTCGTTTCCCCTAGAAAATTCAGGCAGTGGCTTTTAGTACTATCCGCTGCAGAGTACAACGGAAGACGTTGCAGCTGCTGCAATTGCTGAGGGTGCTGCCAGGGCTATGGCTCAGAGGCCCAGGATTCAGATCCTGCAGAAGGATGAGCTGCTGTCCATGAAGGATGGTGTCCTTCTCCCCTCCTGGCCCACAGAGAGAGCTTCAAGGGCACTCATTACCAGCTCCTTTCTTGGTATCTAAGGCTGGAACTAAGAAGGGGATGGCAATCTTGTGTCAATGGCTCTGCCTGTAGTGGGACCAAAGTCACTTTCTGGAATTCCCATTTTGGCATATCTGGACTGCAAGTTAGGAAATGTTATGTTGAGTTTAAGTGGAGAAAACAGTCACTGTTAGGGTTGGCAAGAATATCATTTTTCATTAAAAAAAGAATTTCCAAAGTAGAAGTATTACTTTTTAAAAGATGAACTGTCTGATATATCCACGTATAAACACTTTTTCACACTTAAAAATACATTTCTGTAATAAGCTGTGGCATGAAATATAATTTATTGGCAGAAATGTCAGGTTAAAATTCCAAATATCTCATGTCTGGTCATTAAATCTTGCCTATTTCTGTGATGTATAAGTAAAACCACAAGTGTCACAACTAGGCAGAAGCAAAAAAGAACAATGTACCCTAGAAATTCCATCACAGAAATAAAAAACACGCTGTACTCCTTAAAATAAATGTGCCTATCGGGGAGCTTTAGAACCCAGTGCAAAGTATGTGAGATGGTTTAAGAAAGGGTTGCAATTTTGCAACAGGAAGTCTGTATAGCTCCTCCCACAGTAGCTGTGAAGGAAACACCTCTGTTTCAGAAACTTCTTCCCATGTGTTCTTCACACGTCTACATGCGGCCCCGCTACTGACATAGGCATTTTGTAAGCTCAAAGCTCCTCACGTCTCACAATTACCAATGCGTGCGATGACATTCATCCTTCATGTGCAAATTCTAAAATTCATTGTAACAGGAAAATTCCAACTTAAAAACCTGCCTACAATTTGAAATGAAAGGATCAAAAATGTCAGACATTGCCGGGAACTAGTTCCTAATAGAGCTCTCTTTATTTGTTCACTGTTCGTGAGTCATTTGCGTTTAGTTTGTTACAAAATGCAGTCTTGACTATTTAAACAGTACTTGAACTAAACTGCTTATGCCATGCAAAAATAACATTTTATGCACTTCTTTTGGGGGGGGAGGGGGCTTCCATGTTCTAGTTCACAGGCATTAGTAACCTCGTTTTTAAAGAAACAAGTTTGTTTATTATTGCTTTTGTAACTAGTTACATGCTGGTTTCCCGGGAGGGACAGTAACCTGTGTCTTCTGGGTTGGACTGGATTTCTGGGGAGAACAAGTGGTTTTCCATATTGTACCCTTCTTGATTACTGTCTTTCTGGACTTCACCCGCAGCATGGTAAGTGTCTTGCCTACAGTTGCGACCTGTGCTCTGGGGCGAGGAAGAGCCAGCACAGCCCTCTTCACTCAGAGCTTTCTCTGCCAAGCAATTGGGGCTGGCGTCTGCCGGCTTGTCCGCTCTTGGCGTTTGGAGCTCTGAGAAATCTTCATCTTCCCCTGTGTCTATCTCGGTGAAGCTCCGCCTCTCCCTGGAAGGGAAAGCAAAGAGTTTCTGCTTGGGGAACCGAGGGGAGGGCCCTTTGGCAAGTCCCGGACAATGTGCTAGGGCCTGAGAGTCCAGGAAGGGCCTATCTGCCTGGGCGGGGCTCTCCTCCAGCAGGATGGTACTGATATGCTGCGGGGTGCTGAGTGAAAAGTCCGCTGTGGTGACTGGCAGCGGCCTGGCTGTGCTGGGCGGGGTCTGGGGGGCACTGCCTCTGCTTTCCTTAAAGTTCACTTTGAGGGACCTGGACTTGAGTGGGTTGCTGCCTTTTAGCGAGCTCTTGGGGCTATCGGTGGCAGCACTGTCAGACTGCAGTGACCCAAGGAGCCCGCATGGGGGGCCAGCAGCCTCGAGGTTTACAGTTCTGTCCACAGGGGCATAATCCAGGGTGCCGTCCCTGGCGGTGGTGGGTCCTTTTTCCCGGGTGAGTGTCAGAAACGGGGGACCCCTGGCTCTTTGGTGCTCTTCTGTCCCTGGGAAGTCAATGGGGAACTTTGTGTGCAGGTGAGATGCGGAGGGTGGCGGCACAGGCGACCTCTCGGTCTCGGTGAAGTCGGTGGCACAGCTCGTGAAGCTGTCGATGCTGGAGGTGCTCTTCATGTCCACGATGACCTCGGTCTGCGCCACGGCCAGCTGCTCCTGAGGGCAGACCACTTCTTCCATTTCTATCTCTTCCTGGAAGGCAGCCGGCCTCTCAGGCTGCTCCTGGCTGTCCGGGGCCTGGTGAGAGTGCTGCTGTGTCTTGGTGATCTCATTGTAGAGCATCTCCAGTTTCTGGGCACTCAGGTGCTGTGGGCTAGAGGAAGAGGTGTTGTTCAGTTGCTCGTGGGAGTCCTTCTGGCTCACCTCCTGGTACTTATTCTCAAAGGACTTGTTGGAGCTGGACTCTGACAGGGCCTTCCTGGCCCACTTCCACCTGCTTGGAGACAGGTGGTTATCATCGGCTGAGTCCTTGGTATTGGCTGACTCTCCGGCTTTCTCCACGGCCACATCAATCAGCTCCATGCTTCGAGCGAAGGCATCCTTTAAATTCATGGACACAATACTTCCATTCCGTTTGGCCCGCTCAAGAGCTTCTCTCCTCTTAATCGCCTTCTCCTGGCGTTTCTGCTCCTTGTAAAATTCAGAAAAATTATTCACGATGATTGGGATAGGTAGAGCAATCACCAGAACTCCGGCAATACAGCACAGACCACCCACAATTTTCCCCAATAATGTCTTTGGGTAGATGTCACCATAGCCCACGGTGGTCATGGTGATGGTGGCCCACCAAAAAGATGCAGGGATACTAGTGAACTTGGTAGCATCCTCATCCTTCTCAGCAAAAAATACAAGGCTGGAGAATATCATGATCCCCATGGCTAAAAATAGTATCAACAAGCCCAGTTCGTTGTAGCTGCGTCTCAGGGTGAAGCCCAGGGACTGCAGACCTGTCGAGTGTCTGGCAAGCTTCAAGATCCGGAGGATGCGCATGATTCGGAAGATCTGGACCACACGCCTCACGTTCTGAAACTGCAGCACGCTCTTGTTGGACTCTGTGAGGAATATGGTGACGTAGTACGGCAAGATGGCCAACAAATCGATGATGTTCAGTGGGCCTTTAAAGAACTTCCACTTATTGGGCGAGGACAGGAAGCGCAAAAGATATTCCATGGTGAACCAAGCAATGCACACAGCTTCCACGTGTGCCAGCTGACGGTTGTCACTGGGTTGCTCAAATTCATCCATTTCCTGCAGCTCTGGTAGTGTGTTGAGAGACAGAGCGATGGTGGAAAGGATGATGAACAGGATAGACACGATGGCTAAGATCTGGAAGAGAGAATAAAGTCCACATTAGCCAAGGTTCACAGTTGCTAACATGGTTGCCTGGCCGACACTGGCTCCATGATGCTTCAAACACTGTGGAATGTCCCATGCTTTCCCAAGGTCTTGAAAATTTCCCTAACAAACACAAACATAGCCACTTTTGAAGAATTCATTTCACTTGGGAGCCTAATGCTCACTTAAATTCTAGGACCAAAGCAACTTGAAAAAAGCCTCTTTCCCTCATCAATGCCTGTTTGTTCCCAGGCATGATTATGTGGATGGGGCCCTGTGCCTGGAATAATTAGGGGAATGATCTTTCTCCTCTCAGTCAATTGTAACTCTTTCCTCTTTAAAAACTCATTTATGTATTTGAAAGAGACACAGAAGGAAAAAAAGCAAGGGAGTGAAAGAAAGAGAGAGGGGGAGAGAGAATATTGGGAGTGGGGGGAGAGAAAGAGAGAGAGAGAGAATTAATAATGAATACTGAGGGTGGGGAGAGAGAGAGAATGGTTCTAGTCTCTGATTCATTTCCCAAATACATGCAATGGTTAAAAGAGGTCCAGGCTGAAACTGGAAGCTGGTATGGGTCTCTGCTGTGAGTGACAGGAACCCAAGTACTTGAGCCATAACCTGCAGCCTCCCATGGTCTAACAAAAGCAGGAAGTTGGAGTTAGGAACTGCGGTTCTCTAGCCTGTAAGTTTTCTCTGAATCTTCTAGTGTTTGTTTACTTCTGTGTACATCTTACATGCTACATAAGCTAGACAGAATCCCCGATCTAGAGAGGTTTTATTCTACAACCAAGACACAAGAACCTGCAGACCTACATGTTGAGACAGAATACACCTTCTGTGAGCACTGACAGTGGAAGTGAGGCCGTGTGACCCCAGTCTTGGGTGTGTGGACTTCTGACCAGCTTCACAGGGTAAAGAAAGAGGAAGGGCTCATTTCACACAGACAACAAAGATCCCATCAAGGAAAGCTTGATTAGCATCCGTGATGATCTCAGTGCAGGGTACATGGTTTTAGGCAGTGGAAATAGGAGCACAGTGTAGCACGTAGCAGGAAAGAAGAGCTCAGAAAGAAGTGGCAAGAGGACCAAGGAACTGGGTTCTACTGTCAGGAAGTGTGAACACGGCCGCAACTACTGCTTACAAGGTGGCTGAGGGCACATTGTTTAACTGCTCTGTGTCTCAGTTTATAAATTTGTTGAATGAGACAAAAGTCGTAGCTGCCTCACAGTGGTTGTAAAGATTACTTGGTACATAGTCACTGCTAAATAAATGAAAGGTCCCTGTGTTATAGAGGAAGCAATGACCTAGGACTTCAGTCTGGAAATAGAAAGCTGAGACTGGATATGTGGAAAGTCCATGAAACTACACTTATAAACGATACAGCTATAGCACTAGGCCAACAGAGCCATACAGCTCAGTTCGTGAAAAATCAACATGCATCTACTTTCTTCATCCACTTTCTTCTTTGTCCTAAGTTTCTCTACAACCAAGTTTCTCCTTTCCTTTCCTCCTCTCTCCTTTTTGGCTTCCTGTCGTTGTTTATTCTTCCTGTTCTTCCACCTGTCATCTCTCCTCTGAAACTGCTATTAGGAAAACCCTAGAATAAAATATTTTATAATGTGTTATAGATGGCCCTTTAACTTACAGGAGAATATTATTAATGCTTTGTATTTCCTGCTTAGTTATACATTAAATACTTTTTGCTTGAGTGTACTTCACAATTTGCTTTAAAAATACAGATTGGTGACTCAAAAGAGAAAAAAGTTCTCATCTACTCTAAGACTGTGAAGACTAACACTTGAAGCATCTGCAACAAGATTCAGAGAAATCTACTGATAGTGAATAGAGTCCGATGGTTTGTTTAAAACAAGCTGGGAATGCTTGCCTGGAATCTCTAGCTCCAGAAGCTAACATTAGGCTGGTATTACCACATCACTAAACTACTCCTGGGGAGGCTCTCGTCAGATCCCATCCGTTCAAACCCTCATACCATTAGCGAACTGGTCTCCTGTTGACTTCTAGGGGGTCTCACCATTGCCGACACATATTTTGACATTTTAAGTATTCAGAACTGCTGCCACTCTTACTGTATGTCTAATCCATACTTTAGGTTTTCACACTTGTCTCCTCTCTTTTCTTACTTTGGATACATTTCACTGATAGCTATCTCTCCACAGAAAAGGGAGAAAAGTAGAAATGCAAGCAAGTCTATTATATTATCTTCCAATATTTTCTGCAAACAACAGAGTTGAAGCTCTAAGGCAGGCCTGCAGTTTTCTCATGAACTTCATAATCATAGCTGGGCCATAGACGATCTTACTTCTGCAGACAATTTCGGGAAAAAGATAAAACATGATGTAGTATGAATCCAGTCTGTAGTCTAGGTGATTCCAACTTAACAAATATGGTGACCTTCAACACTTGAAATGTAGCATATATACAACATGATCTGCAATACATTCCTGAACAAAAAGCATTACTGAAGAAAAAGCCCAACACTGAAACCCTTAGCAACAACATGTTCGTGTCAAAGAAACCATAAGGTATTGAAGTGTGCTATTTTCTGTCTCATGTTTAAATCCAATCTGTCAAAATCCATTTGCTCTCAATTTAGAGGAATGGTTTATTTAAATATCATGTGAAGCTTGGAGTTCTCCCAGAAAGACAAGACTTTAGACAAATTATTCAATATGTACCCAAGGTGATATGTGGAGCAATAAGCCAAATGCACATTTATTGTCTTATTGCGCAGTTGTTTTAAACACAATAAATAAAATAAATGTGAAATTTTACGCTCAGCTACAGCTTTCTCTCTTAACATGGCTATTTACTTTAGCACAGAAAACACTTACAGTGTATAGATATTTCCTCATTTATCAAAATCGCACAAATTCGATTCATCCACTCAGGGTTTTTTGTTTTGTTTTATTGATTTATTTCTTGTAAAGGTAGAGAGACTGCGAGTGACAAGACAGGCAGACCCTGAGAGATTTCCCATGTGCCGTTTCTTTCCTCAAAGGCTCACAACAACTGGGCGGGGTGCAGCTGAAGCTAGGAGCCTGGAACTCAGTGCAAGCCTTCCACCTGGCTGGCAGAGACCCAGGGAGTTGATACATAACTTTCTGCCTCCCAGGAAGCACATTAGAAAGAAGCTGAAGACTTGGACCTACGTATGCAATCATCCCAAGCTGAGGCTTAGCCACTGTGCCAAATGCCCACTGCTAGAGTTAGGGTTTTAAATCATTATCCACTTCAACACTTGGCCTTTAGAGCCTGTAGAGTTCAAAGCATTTCTCTCACGTCCAGAAAATTAATTAGGTTTGTACATCCAATGATTAACTTCTCAAGTGGCCACAACGGCTTGAATTGAGCCAATCCAAAGCCAGGAGCACGGAGCCTCCTCCAGGTCTCTCACATGGCTGCAGCGTCCCAAGGCTTTGGGGAGTACTCAACTACTTTCCCAGGCCACAAGCAGGGAGCAGGATGGGAATCGGGGCCACCAGGATTAGAACCAGCGCTCCTATGAGATCCCAGCGCATGCAAGGCGAGCACTTCAGCCACTAGGCTACTGCGCCAGGCCCAGGTTTGACACTTTCAAACATCATTTCATCTGAGTCACAGTGTGTCGAATGCAGCAACTGCACTTTATTTTCTTTAGGACTGAACTTTAGTTTGCCAATACTTAGGAAAGAGTTTGATTGAGGTTGCTTCAGTTGAATTGGAGTTGTTTTGTGTCTGAAAAAATTCAGAAAGTTTTGTTGTCTGGGTTTCATGTGTATTTAATCTGCTGCATATTTACTGGCATTCAACACTGCACAAAAAACCATGAAAATGTCCGTGCGTTACATAGTAAGATCCCATCCATTCTTGTACCATAAGCAACTAGATCCTGCTATTGTCTTCAGGGAGCTCATGTTGCTGCTAAAATAACTTTAGAGATTTTAAGTTTTGGGATTGTGTGATTCCCACTTTATTTTCTCTTTCCTTTCAGCGCTCCTGCTTTATTTTTTGGTAGGATGTGGTATTTCTTCAGACTTGATCATCAATGGAAAACTACGCAAACATAAGGATATGAACTTTTAGGAGAGGATTAACTTGTTTTATTGACAAGAGAAAAAAGGTGTGTCTATGACAAACATTCTTAGAAACATGAGAGATTTTTACATTTCAGAATAGGCAGATAGAATGTTAGCATTTTGGACCCCATCAGCCAAAGGCCAAAGGCTGAGGGAAAGGGCAAGGAATTGGTAAGAATATTAGGATATTCATCCTTCCATCCATCTTTTATTTGTCGCTATTTTCGACTAGCGTATGCAGCAAACCAGAACATGTAACTTCTCTGATTGCACCAAAAGGAAAGAACCAGGTGTGGCTGTTTTCCGTCCTATCGGCTCAGATGCCTTGACTCCCCGGGTGTTCTTTAGGCATGAAGGCCTTTAGCTGACTCTTCGACTCCTTCTCTCAAATGCCTTCGAGCTCTCCCACAACAGAACGGATCCTGTGCTTGAACATTCTTATTGGGTCTGCAGTTGCAGGTATGGATCCCTTAAGAGCTGAAATTGCATGATCACACACAAAGAATGAGGATTTCCAAAAGATGCAGTTGTTTACAAAAGCATGTTGGGCCTGGAGAGCACAGGGTTCCAGGATTGTCATTTCACTTCTATGTGGCTGCAGCTGCTGAATGGAATGCCATTCACATATAAATTAGAGTCGCGGAGAGCCTGCAGGGTGCCTTTCCTCCATGAAGCAGCAGCTCAGGAGAAGTAGCCCAGTTTGGCATCTTAGCAGAGCATTTCTGGTTTTTTCATTCTCAATACAAAAACAAAATCTTTACAGAGAGAACTTCTGCTTATCTGATGACTAATGATTGTGTTCAAATATTTTCTTAGTTATCTCCTGAAATATGTCTTGTTTCACTACTCATGATATATTTCTGTATTTTGCAAGATCAAATTCTAGGAAGTGATTCATTGGGGTCGGACAAGGTT